CACTCATTGAGATGGAGAAGCAGCAGCAGGACCAAGTGGACCGCAACATCAAGGAAGCTCGAGAGAAGCTGGAGATGGAGATGGAGGCAGCTCGCCATGAGCACCAGGTCATGCTCATGAGGCAGGGTGAGTATAGACCTGCAAAGTCTTAAAGCAATAACAAAGTGACAAGTTTAATTTATATTAATTAGTACAGAAAGACTTAAATATCTCTTTTATTCTTTGAGATATTTTGTTGATCTTGGTGTTAGGCACATGTGCTTGGAGATGTGATAGGATCCTGGATTCTGTGGATAATGGAAATACAGATTTACTTTATTTTTGGAATCTGGATACCTTGGACAGCAACTCAGAGATTATGTATTCCCTTTGCTTTCTGGATCTTTATTCATAGAAAATTACTGGTTCTGTGTGGGGAGAATGAAGAATACTCCATAATTACTGTTTTTTCTAGATTTGATGAGGCGCCAAGAAGAACTTCGACGGATGGAAGAGCTGCACAACCAAGAAGTACAAAAACGAAAACAACTGGAGCTCAGGTAACTTTCTTAAACCATAATTTCCCTAAAATCTCATTCTTGCTTCCTGCAACCATGCTACCTGGTACATTTATTTGTAAATATGTTAGCAAGTATTTTCCAACTTCTTAGCTTGTCTCTTTGGGTGGATAGATTTTCTAGCTGCCCATGGCTCTAGGAATTACCTGGGGCTGCACAGCAGAGGAAGCAGCTGAGTACTGGTCTCATAAGGCTCCTTTGGGAGAGAACATTTTTTTTCTGAAGGATATATAAGTTTCCTTAAGGCTGGACACACTTAACAGTGACTTTCCTGATAGTTTTCAGTAGGCTCTTGATTTCCTTGGCAAAGTCCCTTACTAAGCTAGCCTGCTCAAGTTCTAGAGTGCCTCTTCCTTAAATACGTTGGTGACTCTCTCTAGGCAGGAAGAGGAGCGCAGGCGCCGTGAGGAAGAGATGCGGCGGCAACAAGAAGAAATGATGCGACGACAGCAGGAAGGATTTAAAGGAACTTTCCCGGATGCGGTATATCTTCCATGTGCCCTTTATGTATCAGACTGTTCATTATATGACAAACCCACCATGAATTGTCCACTAAGGACTGCAAAACACATTGGGCTCTGACCAATTTTTCCATACTATGAAATTCCTTTTGAAAAAAGCATTCGTAGGAAGAAATAAGGTTTCAAAGGGAGTTTATCTTGCCTCATAAGCAATTTAGTATGAAAAACTGGGGTAACTGTGCTGTATATAGATTTAGTGATTAATACGAGATATATCGACTCCTGTAACATCCTTGACCAGTTGTCTGCTATCTTTGCAGTTGTACAGGTTGGAGACCTAGGAGAAACCAACTATTTCTTTTCCCCTTTCTTTCTTGTGTCCTAGAATCTCTATGACTTTGAACTTATCCTCTAAACTAGCAAGGAGCTGTTGGTGTTCTTCAGCTTGGTCTCACTATTCTTACCATTCCATCTACTCTCCTTAGTGTGTGGTCCTCAATGGATTATGGTAGCATGCACTACTGTCATGAATTGTTTTGGGTATTTTTTGTTTTTCAGAGAGAGCAGGAGATGCGCATGGGCCAGATGGCTATGGGAGGTAAGGATTTAGGAGATTAAAGACTCTGATTTCCTTTTTGTCTAGTCTTTGGTGAACTATAATAGCTTCTCCTACCTAGTCCAGATTTAAGGGACTGACATTTCTAGGAGTATTATTTTTGGGAAGTGAATATGTCTTAGTGCAGAGATCTTACTGAATTGTCTCCTTTGGTAGCATAGAAAAAGACTTTACAATCTTCACACCTGTACTGATTACACTATTCTGCTTTAGGTGCTATGGGCATAAACAACAGAGGTGCCATGCCTCCTGCTCCTGTGCCAGCTGGTACCCCAGCTCCTCCAGGACCTGCCACTATGATGCCAGATGGAACCTTAGGATTGGTAATAACTATAGGACCTTATAGTAACTCTGGGAGTAGGAGGAAAAGTAGGGCTTTGCCTTCACAGCCCTGGAGCTACCTTGATTTTGCTATAAACATCAATCTTTAGGACTACTAGTATCCATTAACTGCAACTTCAACATTTTCATTCTTGAATTGTGAGAAAACCAGTCTCAGGCTATAGTTTGTTTAGGAGCAAAGCAAATGACTGTCCACCTGGCTAGTCTGATTATTTTTGAAGAGAAGACAGTTAAAGATTAAGTGTCATTACATAAAGTAGATGTGAACCCAAAGCCTTTATGGCTCATAAAATCTTGAAGTTGTTTTGGTTCTAGTGTTAAAATTTTTGCATTAAAATTGGGAGTCCTGGTACTGCAGTGGTAAAGTGTTTGCTTGGCTTTTAATTGGAAGGTCAGCGATTCAAACACACCTTCTGCTCCAAAGGAAAAAGATGTGGCAGTCTGCTTCCCTAAAGATTGACCATCTTGGAAATCCTAAGGGGCAGTTCTACCCTATTTTAATAGGGTTGCTATAAGTCAGAATCAATTGGACAGCAGTGGGTTTGGTGTTTCTTCCTGTTCTTTCAGGCTTCAGTTGCTAAATAGTGATGGCCTGCCCTTATCCAGATACCTAGCTTAGGAAAAAAGAATTTGGCCAGAACTTATCTGGAGTCCCTGGGTGGTACACATGATTAATGCACTTTACTACTAACTTGAAACATTGGCAGTTTGAACCCACCCAGAGGTACCTTGGAAAACAGGCATGGTGACCTGCTTCTGAAAGGTCATAGCCATGAAAACCCTGTGGAACACAGTTCTACTCTGACACATGGGGTTGCCCTAAATCAGAATTAACTCAGCATCTTTTTTATGTTTTATTTTTTGTTGAGAATATACACTGCAGAACATATACCAATTCAAAAATTTTTACATGTACAATTTGGGTGTATGTGTATATTTTAAGAACTTTTGTAACCAAAGGATTTGGACGTAACATTGTGTAATAGGAATGGGGATAAAAAGTTAAAGGTAGGATGGTTGGATGGGTTCTAATTCAGGCAGCCTTTTCAGTGTCACCCACTAGTTTTGTTCTAAATAGGCTTGGTGACCCCTAGCATCAGGAGATTTAGTGAATAGTTGGGTAGAAAATTACTTCCCAGCCAGCTTTTAATGGCTTCCAGGGGAGGGGCTACAGAGGGTGTGAAGCTTAGGACAAAGGTTCTATTGTAACATTGCTCTTTTTTCTCTTTAAGACCCCACCAACAACTGAGCGTTTTGGCCAAGCTGCTACAATGGAAGGAATTGGGGCAATTGGTGGAACCCCTCCTGCATTCAATCGTGCAGCTCCTGGAGCTGAATTTGCTCCTAACAAACGTCGCCGATACTAATAAATTTGCTGTCTAGTTTCCCAAAACCCATAAAAGAAGGACCCTTTTTGGACTAGCCAGAATTCTACTCTGGAAGAGTGTTAGAGATTCCTCCCAATAGTTAGGTCTTCCCTGCCTGTACTACTCTATGGAGTATGCTGGAGGGCAGAGGGCAAGGGAAAGGTATTTAACAAATCGATTCTGTATGGTATATTTAACAGATCAATTCCATGTGGTGCATTCCTGAAGTCTCAAATACACTGAATGTTGAGGGCCTGGGGGGAGTCATGGCAAAATGGACCTATTTAGAACCCCATTAATCTTGATCATTCCATCTTTGTCCATCCTGCTTTATTTGCTTTTTCATCCTTACAACTTCCAACCCCAGAGACACTGCCACATATCTCACAAAAACCAAACACCCCCCCCCAATGACCTTAAGCCCTATTGCTCTGTTCACTCCCAAGTTAGAATTCAGGCAATGTCCACAAAGGTTACAGACAACATACATACGGTTCTGTTATATCCCATATATTACCCCTTCGTGTCCTAAAGAAGACATTTTCTCATAGGTTTTCATTTTAGTATATCTTTAAAAAAAATCTTGTATTAATTTGCCTCCATCTTTTTCTTGAATGAGGACAACCCAGAAATGGCCCTTTTGTGTCTATGATGTTGCTATTCACAGCTTTTCTTGATAGGCCTAGTACAGTCTTGGGAAAAGGGTTGCTGTATATTGAAGTTCTGACAGTAGCTCTTAGCCTTGCCTGTCTTGGGTAGTTACGCTGTGTGTTTTTTATTGGTGTACTATGTTTGATTTGTCCCTGATATATTAAATTTGGAGTTTCCTGAGAAATGGAGCAGTAATGCAGCATCAACTTATTAAAATACGTTTTAAGCCTTTTAATTTTCTGTGCTATTTTTGAAGGGGGGGAGGGTGAAGGGTAATTCTGTTATAGAAGATGAGTTCTATGCTCTGTAAGTCTATTGACCTTTTGAGTCAAGTATTAGTCATCCATCTGGGAGGATGTGGGGGTTAGATAGTGCTGTTGAAACAGTTGTTATTTGCCATCGAGTCTGACCCAATTCATAGC